ATCGATTATGGTTGACTCCAGAGCACCACCCGCTCCGGGCTGATTATCTCTTCTGCTCAGCCCCAACTGCATTTATTTTTTTTTTTCCCCAGCTCCGGCTGAAGAGCATGCAGCACCAATAAAAGGAGGCTAAATGACATGCAAATGAAAAAAATATATATTACTTTTGTTTTTCAATTAAGAGAAGCCAACTCCCAAACAATGCTAGCATTTCTCTGGCGCTGAGGCGCGTGCAATCACCCTAAATGGGCAAAAAAGCAAGCTGAAGCCTTCTCAACAACAATGCTTCAGCTTTTGGGTCCGGGTCTTCCAGCTTTGGAGCCAACGGGTGGGGAATAGCGGGGGAAATCTCCGCGTAACTCCCCACCCCCCCCTTTGCCCGGACAAATTCAGTTTTTCCACGGCCTTCCTTCAACTCTCTAATCCCACATACCTAAGTAACGCTGAAAACTAACTTGCATACCAAACCCCTGCAACACCCCTTATTAAAACAACAACAACAAAGCGACATCCCGTCCCGACTCCAGCGCCTGGACGCAGAATGACAGCTGCTGGCAGCCCGCTGGAAGCGCGGCAGAGCCTCGTCTGGCCGGGATCACCTCTCGGCCAAAACAGACGTACGAAAACCCCGCCGTGGGCACAACCCCTCGTCACTGCCCGTCCGTTTCGGAGGGTGCGAGCAGATCCCATCCCCTGCTAAGCTTTGCCCCACCAGATCTGGAAGATTGGCCTCTCCATCTTGGAGATGTTCGAGCTTGCAGTTTGGCCTCGTGCTGTTCGCTACCTTGAGACGTGCAAAGCTGATCTCGCTAATGTAGGCGTGAAGCTGCTGGTTGGAGGAGATGGTGTGAAGGGTACAGAACAGGCAGGCAGCCTTGTCTTCAGCCGTGGCGGTCAGAAACAACACGTTTGGTTTAGGGAGATGCCGAGGAAGGCTTGCAGGCACGTGTGCTTTTACCCTCTGTATCAGCTGGTCCTAAAAGATGCCGCCTCCTGGCTTAGAACGAGTGAGGTGATTTATGGAAACTGCAGGAAAATGTTTTTACAGTTCCCGTTTGCATGTCAGAGGAGAAGGAGATAAAATAAAACTCTGCAGAGCTGGGAGTCTTGCGGTGTTGATTCCAGCTCCCTGTTTGGGGAGCAGCTTAGGCTGCAGCCCTGCTTTGTGGCTTTAACAGTTAAATGCTTTCAGAGAGCATTTCTGGGGAAAAGAAAACTGAAAGCTGCGCTGAGAAGCTCAGAGGAGAAATTGTGATGAGTTTCCTGATCTGTTTTGTCCTTTAAAAGGACCGGCTCTGAACCGAGCTGCATGAAGATCGAGTGAGATGTGAAAGCTTGACAGTCATACCTACAGGAAACCTTGAATCATTTCTGTGCTTCCTGGAAAACGACGCAGCCAGCTTATCATGGTGCTCACTAACGATGATCCCATAGCTCTTACTGCCCAGCCTAGAAAATGTCCAGCTACCAGCACCTCGATCTCGGATGCAGATGAGAGGAACCAGCCCAATCGGGTTCACTAGAAACCCGTGCCGACGTCCCCTGGCAATAATAATTAATAACCAAGCGCGGGGAGCTGGGCACAGCCACCCCAGCGGTGTGGCCTTTATCACGGGGAGAAAGGTTGGCTTTGTGCGGCCAGTATTTTTCTACATTCCTCGCAGAGCCTGACAAACTTCAAAACTCTCCTAGTCCCCGAGCCATTTACAAATTTCTGCTTTAAATAGAGCACTGCGGAAGGAGCGCTGGTATGTCTTTAGGACAGAGTCTGTCTTTTTTCAGGGGGAGGAGAGAGTCGGAAGGGGCGGAAAGCTGCTCGCTCTCCTCCTAACCCACAGCTTCTTTAGCATGCGCTGAACTCAGGTAGGATTTTCGATTCCTGCTGGCCTCGAGCTCCCCTTCTCGCTGTCAGTGCTCGAAGTCGAAGGAAATGCCTGTCGGTCTTCAACATTTAGCCCCACCAGCACCCCGAACCCACGTGCGCGGCTCTGGAGTAGCCCATGGAAGCGACACCAGGGAGCAGAGAAAAACCAGAGCTCGGCAGCAGTGCGAAATTTCAGAGGTTTTGCTCACCCGAGATTCCAGGCGCGGGGATCGCTGGGAGCTGGCCAAGGCACTTGGATCGCAGCCTGCCCGTTCCTCGGCTCCTCTTAGCTCCCTCCCTCCCCCCCCCGCCTTTCTTTTTTTAATTGCATAATATGCTAGAAAATGATCTGGATTTGGGACTTATTTTTAACCAGAAAAGGCTCACTTCACCCAATCTGATTTGGGATTTAACATCCAGCAAATGCCTTCTGAACCTCACTCCTTTTTTTTTTTTTTTTTCTTTTCTTCTTTTATCAAAACCCCGACGACGTTGCGAGGGCTCTTTGCTTCTGAATGTTTCGCAGGCGTTCCTGGGGGCGTTTGCACGCCCTTAGTCTGTCTGCCACCAGCGTCCAGCCATTGGATTGTCTGGGACCTGCCTGGCGCAGTCCTTTCGCAGGCAGGGATCCCATGCAGGGAGCTGGGGACTGGACTCAAATAAGGAAGGAGAGTTTTGCCTCCTGCACCATAGCCAGGAGCCAGCTGCGTACGGGAGAACTTATTTGGGGTTAAAAATGGGTTTCTACTTACATTTCTTGCAACTTCATTCCATGCAGGTTGTGAGGGAGAGAGCTGGAGGGAACTTGCTGTCCTGTAAGCCTCCAAGGAGGTGCTGGCGTGGGCACCACGCTTGCTGACCCCGCAGCCGCTGGTATTTTGGCAAACCCAGCCCTGGCTGCTCCCCGAAGATAGGTGGGGGCACAGGGCAGAGGGCTCCTGGCCCTCCAGCCCTCCCTGCTCAAGGCACAACGTGAGGTGTTGTGCCCGTGGCAGCACGGTGGTGCCTTTGTTCCTTTGCGTCTGGGGGGAGCTTTAGGTGACAAAAATAACGGGGACAAAATGAGGCTGGGGCTGGGCTGCGTAGAGGAGCCTTTGCAGGCTTTTCTCGGTGCTCTGAAACATCCTGGAAGAGACGGCAGCGAGGATTGAAGTGCCCTACTTACCGCTAGCTCAGCGATGACTTGCGATGCTGGGGAGATTTGGTAAAATTGCCTTGGTTACCTTCAAAATCTGCTCTCTGACCAGGAGACAAGCGCATGCACTTATGCTGATTTTTGTTCTCTTAAAAAGCCCTGCAGCGTTCTTTTGTTCTCAGCGAGCCTCGAAGGAAACTTGACATGGAGGTAGTCCTGGGCGAGGAGCGCGCTCGGATTCGGGTGAAGCAGAGACGAATGGGTCATCCAGAGCCCTGTGCGTGGCGAGGGAGCTGCCTCGCACGCCGAAAGCCTCTCCGGAGGTGGCAGAGGCTGCTGGTGCTGCAGGCAGGTGGTGCCCGCCTGGGGACAGCCTTTAAGGCTCTCTGGTGGCCCTGTCCCCAAAAGCGTCCCCAAAGCCAGGGCCCGTCGCTAGTGGGAGTTGAGCCCCCCCGCTGCGGCAGCAGAATGTCCCGCAGAGAATTATCCTGGCCATCAGGCTAAATGACCTGGCGGGGCTTCTTTGTCTGTAATTCATCTAATTCTGCGATGAGACGAGTGTAAGAACTGCATTTCCTGCTCCAGTAGTTCAGTCCATATGCAATCATTTAAATAAACCCACCAGGTCAGGTCAGCGCTGACACTCCAGGCTTCGCCGTGAAGGTTTCTGTCGGTACAGGATTGCTGAGCCTCGCTCCCCTTCCCTCCGTAAACGTGCTTTCAAATAAAAAAGGGAAATCTGTTGTAAGAACCTCGGCGTGCTAGGTTTGTATTCCCAGCCCCGGCACTGCATTGGCCAGGAAGCTCAGAATTTGAGAGCTTAACGCAGGATCTGGAGCTTGTCCATCGGTGCAGATAGGAGGGGCCGTACGCTCAGCACGTGCCCGAGGGAAATGTGCTGTGGGGTAAGCGAGGAGGGGACGGGGTGGCCAGGGAGGGGGCTGGGGGAGCAAAGAGCAGGCTTTGAGCTTTGCTGGCTTCATCGGTGCCTTCTGCTTCCTTGCAGATATATGTTGGGGAAAGGAGGAAAGCGGAAGTTTGACGAGCATGAAGATGGGTTGGAAGGCAAAGTGGTGTCTCCTACTGACGGTCCCTCTAAGGTGTCTTACACCTTACAGCGTCAGACTATCTTCAACATTTCCCTTATGAAACTTTATAACCACAGGCCATTAACCGAGCCGAGCTTGCAAAAGACAGTTTTAATTAACAACATGTTGAGGCGAATCCAGGAAGAACTCAAACAAGAAGGCAGCTTGAGGCCCGTGTTTGTGACGGCTTCGCAGCCCACCGACCCTCTCAGCGACAACTTCCGCGAGGCCCAGCCGGCGTTCAGCCATCTCGCCTCCCAGCCCCTGCTCCCCACTGACTTCGTAAGCACTACGCCCCTGGAGTCTTGCCTCACCCCGGCCTCGTTGCTCGAGGACGACACTTTTTGCACTTCCCCGGCTGTCCAGCACGATGGTCCGACGAAACTACCACCTCCTGCTCTCCAACCAGTCAAGGACAGCTTCTCCTCAGCCTTGGACGAAATCGAGGAGCTTTGTCCCGCACCTACCTCCGCAGAGGCAGTAGCAGTAGCAGCCGACGCAGCCGCCGCCGACTCCAAAGCCCACCCCAGCGAGTCCAGCGCGCAAAAGCCCGAGGGCGTCGCGGAGAGCAGAGCGGCCGAATCCAAACTCATGGACTCGCTGCCTGGCAACTTCGAGATCACGACTTCCACAGGTTTCCTCACAGACTTGACCCTGGATGACATTCTGTTCGCTGACATTGACACGTCCATGTATGATTTTGACCCCTGCACGTCTGCCACGGGGGCTGCCTCCAAAATGGCTCCCGTCTCAGCAGATGAGCTCCTAAAAACGCTCGCGCCATACAGCAGTCAGCCAGTAACTCCAAATCAGCCTTTCAAAATGGACCTCACAGAACTGGATCACATCATGGAGGTGCTTGTTGGGTCTTAAAATATAGAAATATAGCAACTCTCTCTCTCTCTTCTTCTTCTTTTTTTTTTTTTTTAATTTTATTTTAATTTTAAGTACCAGTATATACACTTGGTAGTATTTCCATAGTCCCTCCCGCCCCCGATTCACAGCACTGTGCATGCGTCCTTGCTTGCCTTTTTTGAAAAGAAAAGGATCACACTAGTTTTTGCTTCAAGCAGAGTTGGAGTGCCTTCATCCATGTATGACCACTTCTAATGTATTTTTTTTAAAGTGGTTCCTCAAGGAAGACCGAATATCCTGGTATACGAAAGAATATGTATTGTAGACAATGTTATGTTATTACAAAAAAAAAAAAATTGTAAAAGCTAAGCACAAGGATTATGTTTGGGAAAGCTGTAAATTGCATGTGCATATTTGTCTATTTTTTCTATAAGTTTTATTGCAAGAGGTAAAAAAATTTATTATTTAGATAATCTCAATACCATTTTAGCCCTGTATAGGTTGACTTAGCAATTCAGCCTTTTGGAGGCATTAACCTGCTCCTCTTTAAGTGTTGCATTTACATGGCTGTTTAGAAACTGCTGCCCAAATTTATTTTATATTTTTGTACAGATTCTGCAGTTTATGATATTGTTTTTTCTAAAAACAAATGCTGTTTATACACACAAAAAATAGCTATTTTGATAGGATTTGCTCACATAGTTCCTGCATAATTCAGATGTACAAGAACCACTTGTACTTTTATACAGAGTTGTAATGTTTTATATGTGTATGGTGCAAAGAGAAAATTGGATCAAATAAGCCTGCAGTTGGTTTCCCTGAATGCAAACAAACAAACAAACAAACAAAAACAAAAAAAGTGCTTTAAGAAAGGGCTGGGAGCTGCTCCTGTGGGAGTTTCACAAGTGTTTGCTCCCTGCTGTACCCACTGCGCACTACTGTGATTCCCGAAACTCAGAGCCATGTCCTTCTCCAACACGTACGCGAAGCAGCCGGCAGGAAGCAGTTGTGGAACTCCAGCCCGGAGGAGCTGAACGCGGTGGCAGCCCCGGGAGCAATTTCGAGGGGGCCCACGCCTGCTGCTCGCCAGGAGCAGCCCTCCCGCGGCCACCGTCCTGACCGGCGGGCAGAAGACCGGCGTCGCCGCGTCCCCGCGCCCTTTCTTGGAGCATTTCTCCTCCCCTCGCCCCACCTCACTGTGCTAAGTGCTGAAAAAGGCAACTTCAGTATTACTGCAGTGAAGCTCATCTCTTACCTGCACTGGATGGACTTGCTTTAATATCCATTGCTGTCGAAACTGGAGCCAGTCGCGTTACATCACTTGGCATCTCGTATAGGGTTGGTTTCTTGTATCAACTGCGTTACCTGCTTTACACTTTATAGACCTGTTTTACAACGAATATACAGACACAGCTTTCTATGCATGGTCCCCTTCCCCGTAACACCCGAGAAGTCTTCTCATTACTGCACCAATAGCATTTTTTAAGTTCCTTGTGGTGTACATTTAATTTAAAAACAAAATGTTTGCAATGTATCATGCCTATTGCTGAAGTTGCTATGGCATTTTAGTTTTTCAATGGTACTTTAGCTGTTGAGCGCCGGTTACAACCTATATTGTTGACATGCCTATGGCTTCTTTAGGAATAACTTTTATATTTATTTAAGAAATTTTAAATTATGTTTTACGTCATTTGGCAATATTCAGTCAATTCTGCTCCCTTCTTGTCATGGATGAAATTGGGTCTTGTCTGCCTTGGAAGGAGGCAGCTTTTTATAAATTGGCACTTTAAAACAGGCCATATATATTTATTAGTGTATAGATAGGTAGATATGACATAGATATGCACACAGACAGAGTATAAAAGCAAACGCATTTTGCAATGAAGGAACTCCTAATTGAAACGAAACGCGCCGCGTACAATTACGAAACGCTTCTGGAGCCCGGCTCCTCCGCCAGGGTGAGCGTGGGGCTGGGGGACACCAGGGCTGGGGGTGGGTTTGCTTTCTTTTCCAAGCCAAACTCAGCGATGCTGATGGCGCTGCAGTCATTTCCTTACACGGGCTAAAAAAAATAAGTTATCCCTTCCAACAGAAACCCCTCAGACTGAGCACAGCTCAGGGCCCAGGGCTGGGGATCCCCCCCACCCCGCATGTGGTGGCCTGTAGGGAAGCAGCCCCGCCGGGTTCTGCACCGCTTCTAACTGGAGAAACTGGGAAAACATCGGCCGTGCGGCGTGGGGTCTGCTTGCACAAACCCGCAGGCGATTTCACACGGTAACTTGGTCAGCGCTTGCATTGCCATGGTTAGACACCGATAGCTGGAGCTGCCCTTTTTATTTTTGTATTTTTTGGAGGGGAGGGTTATTTATGCAGTCAAACAACTACCGCATGTTAGGCAAAAGTCCACGTAAATGCCATTTCTGGAGCCACGCTTCGACAGAGGTGGCTGGGTGCAGGTGGTGTAGCCGCAGGAGGGACGAGGTGAGCTCTAAGTCCATTTCCCACTCAGAAGACGTCTGTGTGCCCTTGGTGCTGAAGCACAGGCCCTGCCGCAGGGGCCTGGCGGCGATCTGCTGGGACACCAGCAGCTGACACGGGGCTAGGGAGAGGCTCTGGTCCTGTTGGCAGCCACGCAAAGCCACAGAGGGACGGAGGGGAGGGCTCAGCGGTGCCGCTCGCCCCAGGGTCCTCACCGCAGCCACGCACGGGGCTTCTCCGAGACCTACACCAGGGATGGATTTCGACATTAATGTGCAATGAAGTGACAAGATGGGAGCAGAATAAAAGAGCTTTGGATTTGAAGTGATTTTTTTTTTTTGTTTTTCATAAATTATTTATTCTTTTTTTTTTTTTCCTTCTGTAAATATATTTATTTTATTGTGAAGCTAACAACATCTGGATTGTAACATGTACAGAATGTATGGTAGGAATGTATTCTCTTGTAGGAATGTAAATCTGTATGAAAAAGGGTATGGGAGCCAGATTCAGAGAAAATGAATTGCGTTCCAGTCAGGATATGCATGGTTCACATGACATTTTTTTCCCCCCCCCCACCGCTCTTTTTCTAATATGGGTCTGGTTGTTTGAAATATGCAAAAGGGGTCGGGGTGGGGGACAGTTTTATGTTCAAAACCAGTCCCGGCCAGCCTCCTACCCTGTCAGCCTCTCGGTCTGCGAGGGGAGCCAGCAGTGAGCGCAGTCACCTCCAGCCTGCTGGTCCGGAGACATTCGCAGGGGTTCAGCACCTCCCCGCTGGGTGACGGCGGCTGCGGGACCTTCCCTCCAGCCCCAGGAGACACAGCCGAGCCTCTTGCCTTGAGGTAAGGACAGCGAAGGCAGGCGGCCGAGCCCAGCTGCCCGCAGTGCTGCGCCCCAGCCAGCCCGTCCTGGCGGACTGGTCCCAGTTCAGGGCTCCAGCAGCACCGGTCCCCAGCCAGCCCCCGTGGGACGGGGCAAGAAACTGCGGCCGAGCAGCGTAAAAGCATCAACCCGGCACCTTCCTTGCAGCCACCGAGAGAAGATCGTGAAGCCACTGGCTGAAGCAATCACTGTAAGAATAAATTTGGACTTTGCGAGAGGTAATGTGTGGGTTGTTTTTTTTTTTTTTTCCCCTCCCCTCACTGCTGCGTGGTTATAGCCTGGATTGTTTCAAACCAATGTTATGAATCCAAAGTTTACACTTTTATCACAATTAAATTGAGTAAATTGTAATGGGTCCTGTCTGACAAACGGTTTAATCGACTCCGGCGTATTGTGAACTTTGCGTTGTTGTTACAGGGTTTATTTGGTTGTTTTGTTTTTCCCCCACCCCTCAGGTTTCAATATCCTGCTTCTGTGCAAGTTGCTTTCAGTGCTTCTATTAATTAACGAGACTGAACATTTTTCAAGAAATTAGTTCTTTTTAAGCACTTTTTCTTTTCCTGAAAATAAGCCTAATGCAAGTTCTGGAACCTCTTTAAAAATACAAATTGCAGACAAAAATCCCAACCTCAACTCCGATCTAGTTCTGAGCGTAATCCATACTAGCGCCTGTAAAGGCCAAGATTCCGGAAAAGGTGTAAATAGTGTGACATGTTCAGTGCATGGTTGTTTGAACAGGGCTTGTTATTGTCAAAAAAAGAAAAAAAAAAAAAGAAAAAAAAAAGAAAAAAGGCTGTATTTCCCCTTCCCCCTCCCACAGACCTTAGAGCTGTGCCTTTTCTATGCAATATTACAGACATATACATCTGAAACCAGATTACTGTATTCACATGTAGGTATGGGCTGTAATCAAAACCAATTGGACAAATGTACATGGAAATGAGCAGTCTTACTTTTGTAGTTTTATATTATACAATAAACGATTAAAATAAGTTCTGGCTTCTTTCTTTCCCTCTGCGGACGGGGCAGGGCATGGGAGAGAGGGGAGGTGATGGGGACACAGGAGGGACCGGCCCATGCCCTCTTTCAGGACTGGACAAAAGTCACCGTGTGTGACAGTGTGCAGCGAAGGAGCAGGGTCAGGATACTTTTAATGCACTTCTGTTCAGAGCATTAAACCCCAGCAGGAAGCGTCCGATACCTTCATGCAGGGCTTCTTCACCAGCGGTGCCCTCTTCCCCCTGCAGGTGCTGGTGTTTGGTTCCAGAGGCAGCAGCAGCGGCAGCGGGGAGGCCTGGCCCTGGCTTTGGCTCAGGCGTTTTGAGGCGAGGAGGCAGCGAGGAGGCAGTGAGCGCAGCCCAGGAGCAGGGTTGGGGCTGGCCCCAGGGCGCAGTGAGTGAGTCACCCCCCGCCCGCCCCCGCTGCACGCACTGCGTGGCCTCCACCACCCACGGGAAACGTCGCTGCTCCATTTTGGACGGCACAGAGAACCAAAACCAGACAGAAAAGCAGCCGAGTTTCCCCCGGCCCGACGTGCCGCGCGTAGCGGCTCCGCTGCAGCGAGCTGGCTCGCGTTACCAGGGTGGCCGCCAGCAGCAGCAGCACGGGGCGCACGCAGCCACCGCCCTGCGCACCAGCTGCTGCTCGGGGACAAATGGCTGCGGGGACGCGGGGCACGTGAAGCGCACAGAAAGGAGAAGTGTAGGAATTAAAGTCAGCCCGGGGATTGAATTTCTGCCTGCTCAGCAAGCACCGCGCTCGAAGGGGTGAAACACGCCCGAGGCAGAGCGAGGAGATGCCTCCGGCACAAAACACCAGGGCTGCGTGCAGCCCCCCCTTACCCCTTCCTTACCCAGTGGTTTCCCACCTGCCCTACAGAACTCCCCGCAGGAGAAAGCAGGACTGGGGTTTGGCACACGGACACACGGTGTCTGCTGGCCGCGTTCAGGTCCTTTCACCCACGTGCCTGTGCCTCAGGAGCAGGGTTTCCAGGCGGAGGACCCACCACGGCGGCTCCTCATAGGCCTGTGCTGTGTTTGAACCTCCAAAAGCGATGGCCTGGAGCTGCTCGGTAACTCCGTGAGCCCACGCAGATCCCTGATGGCAGCAATGAGCCCCTCTCTGGGCCCAAATAACTGGAAGATCAGAGAGCTGTAGCCAGGCTCCCACGAGCCTCGCCCAAGTAGGCACCACAGGGGGCAGAAACGCCTTCAGCAGCGCGGCACCAGGAGGCCCCCGTGTCCCTGCAGGCTCCTGGGGGTTGCACCAGGAGGGAGACCGCTCCTGCCTCTAACCCCGGGCCTGGAGGGAAGCGTGTGCTGCCCTGCGGCACAGCCTGGACCACGCGCAGCTCGTACTCACCAGAGAAACCACAGATGGGAAAAGACACCAGGGAAAAAACCCTCAGCCATGGGCAGCGTTTTGGAGAGCTCCTCTGCCTCCATCGCTGGTGGTTGCGGGCTCCTCGCCACCTCGTCCTCGTGCGCATCGTCTGCCTCCTCTCCAGGCAGCTCCCTCCTTCCCTGCTCCTCTCCCTTTTTGAAGAAACTGCCTTGGCAACTGGCAGCAGGAGCATGGGTTTTCACCCCTGCTCCAAATAACCGCGTGGCTGGAGAGGGGAAAGACCGGTGCGACCTCAGCGGGCTGGGCACAGCGGCCACTTCCAAACCACGTCCTCGGGGACTGGCACTGGGGTACGCCGGGTGCTCAGGGTCACAGGCAGCGAGGATTTCTTCCCTCGCCCCAGCACTCACACGGCCCCAAAACCCCGCCGATTCCTCCCCAGACACCTCCAGTCTGCAGCTTCTGCCAGGGGAAGGCGCATCACGAATTGCGGCAGAAAGAACAGCTTCCAGATCGCCCCTTTCTGCGAGGTTTTCCTTCCATTCTCCCCTGCCACCACGGTCCTGCTCTGTCCACCTCAGGCTGCTCTCCCCTGACCATTTCCCCCCTGGTGTTTCCTCTCCCCCCACACTCCCCGGGCTGCCTCCCCTCCCCGTGCTCCTCCCCTCGCTTCTCTCCGCTCGGCAGCTTGGCCATCAGCCGCCGCTGCCTTCACCTCTCCCTTCCCGGCGTGAGCTGGGATGAGATGGATTTTGTGCCGGAGCCAAGCCCTGCATTTATTAGGGGAGGAAAAATAATCAATGCCACGACACCCTAGAAGTTCGCTGGAGGACAATGCCCGTTCCCAGGCGGCCGTTTTTAAGCACAGCCCTCGGCGGGGCTGGGAGCAAGGCAGGAGGAGGCTGCTGGAGGCTGCCAGGGCTCGCTGGGGAGGGCGGTGGCATCGGCCCACACGAGGAGGCTGCTTCTGCTGTGCACGCAGTGGAACATCTTCCTTTCCCCCGGGCAAAGCAGGGCACGAGCTCCTGCGAAGGAGGCTGCAAGGACACGGCTTGGGGCTGTGCCAGGGCTTGGGGGAGGTCAGGGGAGCCGAGCTGCCAGGCCTCAGCCTTCACAGGGTGAAAGCAAGAGCAGGGTTTGGACCCAGAACCACGTCCCCAGAGATGCACACAGATGGAAGCAGCAATTCCCAGCAAACACACAGCAGCCCTGAGATAACCCGGCTCAGGCAGCAAGGCTTGGTACCAACCACGGAGCTTCCATCCAGGGAGATGTGGGCGTTAGCACCCCAGCTCCAGGACCTCAAACCCCTTCTGGGGTTACCTCCACAACCAGGAGCTGCTCTCCTGCACCCCGAGGCTTTCAAACCATGCGAAGATGAAGCCCGTGGTACAGCGCCACCACATCTTGCAGAGAAAAAGGGAAGCACCAGGGCAGGGAGGCAGGGGATGAGCGGAGTCTGCTCTTTTGGACATCTCAGATGCGAGCAACAGCTCTGGCAGGAGGTGAAAAAAATCACCAGCTGCTGACAGACTCTGCGGGAACAAAGCAGAGGCCAGAGCACGTCCAGTGAATCACCTGCTGGGGGTTGGTTCGACCAGTTTCAAGTCCCACACCCAAGAGCAGAGCCACCCCAGGACTGTGTAATCCCAGGCGCAGGGGTGGGGGAGAAAGGGAGAGAAACGTGCCAGGCAGGAGGGACGGCTCTCTGGCGTGGCCCTGGGGATGAGCTCGGAGAGGCAGCAAGTCCCAGCTCGCTGCCAGGATCTTATTCCTGCCTCCCCTCCCACGCCCCGTGCTCCCGCTGCGACCTCCCTGCCGGCACGGCCGCCCGGCAGCTGCTGCCTCCAGGCAGGAGCTGGCACCCACGGACCCGAGGGAGCCTCAAAAACAGGTCCCTGCAGGGCGTGAAGGCACCGGGGGTGAAGGGAGAGAGAGCAGGGGAGGAGGAGGGCTCAAGAGGAGCAGGACTTGCTGAACTGATGTGTCCTTGGAGAGGAAAAACCGACCTGTCTACAGCCTGCGGGCTGCTCCACGGGGGTAGCGAGTCTGCGTGGCTCTGACTCTACACACCTCGACCTAAGCCAGGGTCAGTGCTCCAACGGCAGGGATAAAAAAATACGAACAGTAAGGAGAAATGTCCCTCTGCAGCCAGGGTGAGCCCAGAGACATCCTGGTTGCTGCTCGCATGCAGCAAGGGTTTGTCATTGCAGCTGGGCATGGAAACGCACCCCGGTACGCACCGGGTGGGACAGCGGTATGGAGGGAAAGCCTCAGGAGTATTTAGCACCCTGAGCTCGTTTTGTGGGACTTGTTGTGCTGCTCTAAACGCTGAAGGCCTTCCCCCGAGGTGCAGAAAGACTGAAGCTGATCAACAGCAGCAACCAACCTTTTGGTGCAACTCCCTCCTCTCCAGGACTCGCAGACTGTGCCAGGCACAATTTTGGTTCCTGGGTGTCTCTGTTGTGCAGGAACTGCTCTAAGGTTGTGTTTTTTACCCCTATCAGCTTCAGTAAACGCAGTTCATCTGGCCTGGTCCTTCCAGAACGCCCTGTGCCACCTGCAGACATCCTTCTATACGAAGAAAACGCGCCCTGCCAAAAAGGGTGAAAACAATCTGTTTCAATAGCTTCACGTTATATACAATTTATCGCCCGGAGTAACCATAGGAAAAGCACATTTTCAAGTGTGGTTTCTGACTGTGGTTAACCCTGAAATTGAGGACTTTATCTATTCTTGATTGTTATGCCAATCTTTCGAAACACAGCTGAGCTGCGACCCGCTCCGTCCACGCAGCTCCTGACGCGCCGCCTTTTCCTAGCGCACCGGCGTCCCCAAAGAGCTTCTGGTGTGCCTTCTGCAAACACGGGTCCTGCAGGGCAGCCAGCAGAGCTAATACCTGCCACGCAACGAGAAGAGAAAGTTAGAAACACGTTTCCTAAAGCGCTGCCTCCTCCTTCGCCCACGGGAGAAAAACCAGGCGCTTACTGAGGGTTTCCCATCTCACGCAACCCTGAGGAGCTCAATAATTCCCCCACATCCAAAGGGGGGCCTCAGCTGCAGCTGCGCTCCGTAAACAGTCACCGGGGTGCTCCGAGGTTGCTGTTGGTACATGGTATAGAAAGCTGGGCGAATAACTGATTTTTCGGTTCGCTGGCGATTCTGAAAAAAAGTTAGGGGGAGAAAAAAAAAAATAATTCATTTAGGGTTGGCTGAAACAAACGGTTCGCTTTGACTTCAGCCCTTGACAAAAAGTTTGCTCAGATCACTCAGAATGAAGAATTGCTTCAAAGGGAAAAAGCTCAAAGCCTCTCGTTTTGAAAATGCTGAAAGAAAATGTATTTTTTTTTGTCTCTTCTCTCCAGAAGAAAAGCTTGGCAAATCAAAACAATTCGTAAAATGTTTTAGTTTTGCCAAAATTTGCCTTTTTTTTTTTACTAGAAAAACGCCAGACGAAGATTTCACCCAGCTCCAGTCCAACCAATTTACACCTATAATAACTTAAACAGAGACATCAGTAATTCTGATGAAAGGCGGGCTTCAAAAAAAAGAAAAATAAAATAAAATGTCACAGCCACTGCACAAATGTCCCGAAACTGAAACCCAGAAGAAGAAAGCAAGCTAAAAACCGCTAAGCTTTTCTTGGCTTGGCAGGGGAATCTTATTAAGTCTCTGAATCGTATAGCCACAGATTTGGGACGTTGTAAAAGTTAAATTAGTCTTACTTCTTATTAGCAAGGCACGAAGGGAACCAGGAGATTATGATGCAGCAGCTGCCTTTCTGAGCCAACTTTTCAGCCCTTCAGTGGGGACATGGGCTGGGACGGGGAGCGGTGCTCTTCGTTTGGGCCCAGGGCAATAGATTGGATTTACCCACAGCTTTGTTCTTGCTCCGTGTTTTCATTCAAAATACGATCGCTCTGCACGCCAGGGAGAGCAAGGCCACGCGTTTTTCGAGCCGCTGGACTTGTAAATGAACCCAGGCTTCAGCACAGCCAGCCTAACTCGCCGCGCCCAGGCGTCCCACCAAACCCCTCAGGACAGGGCAGAGGGCAGGTATTTCAAACCCAATCCAGGTTTGAAAACAGTAAGAAAAAAATAATGTGTTTTTTTTTTTTCTTTTTTTTTTTTCTTTTTCCTATTTTATAAACACACAAGGATGGGCAGCAGCAGTTTGCTGGGAATCATTTTAACAGCGAAGTCTGCTAAGGAAAAATGATGCCATGGCCTCAGCCTGAGGGAAATAAAATGGGAGAGAAGGAGAGAAATCCTTGGAAGAAAAAAAACAAACACCACAGAGGAACTTGGAATATCTCAAATCACCGCTGTGCTGTGAAACCATGCCCTCCAAAGTAATATTTAAGGAGCCAGTACCTTCATTTATCATGAGAGAATGTGTTCGTCTGAATACTGGAGTCCCTAAACAACACTGCTAGCAATTCTTTTTTCTCTTATTATTTTTAAATAGCACCTTTCATCCCCAAGCAGTTGGCTACCAGCCTACAGAGGCACAGCAGGGCGAGAGGCAGGTGGCGGGGCTGCAGGGCACCTCTGGCCTGGTGGGGAAAACGAGGAGCTTCCAGCAGGGCTGCCAGGGAGAGAGGAGCTGTCTCCAACCACGCCTCTGAGTCTAAGGCTGCTGCTGCTCTGCGTGAAAGGAGCTGGAAATCCCTCGGTGGCAGCCTGTAACTCTTGAGCATCCAGGGTGGAAACCCGGGGAGCTCTGAGGGGAAGCTCCAGGTCTGGGTAGCCACAGCTACCAGCAGCCTGCCCCTCGGATGGAGGAGCTTTTTTACTTTTTTCCTCCTGGTGGAGGACAAAGGCGTGAGGTTCTGCGCGTGCCCCAAAGCACGTCTCAGCACAGGACAGGCCCATCTCCCACGTGCTGCAAAACCCCGAGCAGGGCACATGCGAGATACCTTCGTACCAGACTCGGACACCAAGCTACGAGCACCTGGAACCTTGCAGAGCCCCAGCAGTGCTAATCATAGATACTGCTCTCTGTGCCCATCATTTGTGTCTGCCTATAATCATACATAACTATATCTGATCATTATAAAAAAAAAAAAAAATCAGCTCCTCGCAAAGTCTAGACAGGGAAAAGGGTCTGGGAAGCATAAATTATACCAACAAAAGCAAATGCAAAAGCCCCATTTAGACACTGAGGTTGAAGTGCTCAGCTAGAAAAGCCAGTCTTGAATTTACCAGCCTCTCCTTGGCACTGCCCTGAAGAAGCAGGAAACAATCACACGGTGGCTGCAGCGTTTCTGTCTTGACCGTGGCATTTCAGACCCCCTTCCTCGCAGGGAAAGGGCAGCTGTAGTCTGTGAGCTGCACTTCTGCAGCTACAAGAGCAGTGTCTTTTCCTCCCCGCTCTCTAGTTAATCAGGATTTCCCACGTGTGAGTTTGTTTGACAGGAGAAAAGGCCTACCTCTGCCTTGCTGTCCTCTCTTCCAACGGCAGCTGTATTTTGGGGAGCCTACAGGGCAGCGGGGTCTTCGGGGCTCTGTCAGGCAGGAGAGCAAAGCACGCTGCACTGAAAGTAGAGCACGAACTCCCTTGTGATCCTGCCAGAGTTCCCTTGTCCGCCTCTACCTGTTTGGGTTGCTGAGAAGAAACCAGAGCCTATTATCAGGCCTGCTTCTTTGTCAGGTGCTTCTTTGATGTAAATTCAACCATGATCAAATATGCTGATCACAGCAAAGAGCCGAGGAGTAACAAACATGCAAGCTGCACGGTGACCTGCAGAGATTAGAGCAGCCGGGGCTGGAGACAAATCGGGAAGATTAAACGCAAACGAGCTAAGAAGCGCCGGGAGAAGTACCCGGGGAGGCAAAAATACGCAGCGCAGACAGAAAATTAGAGAAGAAGGCAGACCAAAGGCTGAGCAGACCCTACTCGTACATAAATCAAAGTCCTCTTCGCCCCCTGGCCCCCGACACTTCAGCTTTACCCTAATGCTTCTGCTCCCAGTCCCTGCTAGGCTCGCTGTAAGGAAACAGAGAGAGAAACCTCTTGGTGCATCTTAGTGCACAACGTTCTGCAGTGACAATTGCAGAACCAAATCAGCAGAGAAAAAAACAGGTTTTCTTTTTTATTTTAAAGAAAAAAACCTTCTGGAAAGCTGGAAATTGGAGTTCCTTGCAATCAGAACTGCCCTGCTAATCTCAGCATCACCACAACTCACCTGTGCAGCCTCCCCCCTGCTTTACAGTGGGGGCACGGGGGCTAAGGAAACATTTTGGGTTCCTCATGTGCCTGGTGCTGTTCCTACACCCTGCAAATACATCCCTGCCCGCAGCACAGCAGCACTCTGAGAGATTTCTTTGAAATTCAGAGAATTTTGAAGGTGGAGATATTTAATTTGGGGTGGCAGAGGAGAGCACAACGTTACTTCAGCCTTCACCTATCGCCACTGGTGATGGCATCACCCTGCAAGCTCTCAGATCCGAGCACTGACACTGATTTAGGGACCACTTGCCAGTGTGCCTGGTTACAGATGAGTACTGGACACCCAAATTCACTAGGAAACAACAGAACACCTGAGAGAAGTACTTTTCTACTCACCAACCTTTCTGTAGCTAAATGAGATCTGCTGCCTTGCCAGCAACATATTTATCTTCCACATCCCATGGCTGCAGACAATACTTGCCGTATCCCTCAAAAAAAATGAGATTCTCTGGCAGCAACACTGGGAAATGTGCACAATTCCTCCTGCAGACCTGCTCGGATCCTCCTTGCCACTGCGTCCCGCTGCTCTTCCACTGCCACTTGTAAACCCAGGCAGTGACATCGTGTTCACACTGGCAAAACAAGAATAAATTTTTAACCTTTTCTGATCAGAAGCAGCAGAATAAGATGCCAGAGAGGCAGATTTCTGCCACGCTAAATGGCACCCAGTAGTACCTGGTGATAGAGAGATCTAGTTTAAGCATGCCTCAGTCCAGTTCTGATCTGTTTTATCTGTGGGGAAACACGGTAGCTTAACAGAGCCAACGTCCACACAAAATTTACAGTAAAAAACTATCGGTCCCTCAGCGCAGGACCAGAGCCATGCAGCACTGCCCATGCAGCTCAAGGAAGCCGTGGTCCTAACAGCACCCGAGGAGATGTTTAGCATCCTGCTCGTCTTCTTAGAACCTGTTCAGCTCTGAAATTTAACCCGAGAAGGGTTAAATTGGAAAATCCAGATCCCCTTCCTACATCCACTCCCATCTTAGGTGGAGGTGGCTTTCACGAAGAGGAGGGAATTCCAGTACACCCACTGCAAAACGTCACTGGTTTCCTGCGAGAGGACAACCTCCCGAGCCAGCAGGCTCCTCCCGTGGGCAGCATGAATGAAACACTAGGAGAAGGAGCCCGTGCCAGCTGCAGTGGTCCTA